GGTAATTTTTGTGTTTTTAGTAGAGACAGGGTTTCAGCCTGTTGGCCAGGCTTGTCTCGAACTCTTGACCTCAAGTGATCTGCCTAACTCGGCCTCCCAAAGTGCTGGGATTACAGGCAGGAGCCACCGCACCAAGCCCGGAATCAATGTCTTATAGTTACGAGAATCAACAGCTTACTCATTATGGGCAAGGTGATGCCACTCTGGCTTCTTAATGAAAATGGCATTTCTCCTTTGGAAAAGGTCATAGTCAGTCAGTCAACAAACATTTATTGAGTACTTTCCTGGCACCATGCTAGACCCTGGAGATACTGAAGTGGTGAATGAGAAGGTGAACATGGGTCCTGCCCTGGAAAGTTTCATGGAAAAGGCAGTCAATAAACAAGAAAAAAAATAATTATGGATTATAATAATGAAGTATGTAAGCAGAGATGTGATGTGGAATAAGTATTAGGAACATAGCAGAAGGCTATTCTGAGAAGGTGACTCAGGTTCTTGAAGACATTTAAATACTTTTCTGTCCAGATTTTAAAGCAACTGAAAAATAAGACCAAAAAAAAGAAAAAAACAAGCAACAGGAGGGCTGAGTACAGTGGCTCATGCCTGTAATCCCAGCTATGTCCTTCATTGTTATTATAATCCATATTCCATATTCACCACTCCAGTATCTCCGGGGTCTAGCACAGTGCCTGGCAAGCCTCCAGAGGCTGAGGCAGGAGAATTGCTTGAACCCAGGAGGTGGAGGTTGAACCTGGGAGGCGGAGGTTGCAGTGAGTGGAGATGTCAAGTAGTGATAAAAAAAATTGTCACTTCAGCCTGGGTGAAAAAGCGAGACTCTGTCTCTAAATAAATAAGTAAATACTTAAGGTTTAGATTTTTTTTTCAAGACATGATCTTACTCTGTTATTCAGGCTGGAATGCAATGGTTCTATCATGGCTCACTGCAGCCTGGACCTCCCTGGTTCAAGCGATCATCCCACCTCAGTCTCTTGAGTAGCTGGGATTACAGGTGCATACCACCACATGTGGCTAGTTTTTTATTTTTTTGTAGAGACGGAATGTTTGGCTGGGTGTGGTGGCTCATGCCTGTGATCCCAGCACTTTGGGAGGTCGAGGTGGGTGTATCACGAGGTCAGGAGATTGAGACCATCCTGGCTAACACGGTGAAACCCCATCTCTACTAAAAATGCAAAAAATTAGCCAAGTGTTGTGGCATGTGCCTGTAGTTCCAGCTACTCGGGAGGCTGAGGCAGGAGAATTGCTTGAACCTGGGAGGTGGAGGTTACAGGGAGCCGAGATTGTGCCACTGCACTCCAGCCTGGACGACAGAGTGAGACTCCATCTCAAACAAACAAACAAAGGAGATGGGTGCTGCCATCTTGTCCAGGCAGGTCTCAAAATTCTGGGCTCAAATGATTCTCCCACCTCAGCCTCCCAAAATGCTGGGATTACAGGCATGTGCCACCACACCCAGCCTAGGTTTAGAATTTTTTATACATTACCTCTACCTAGTTGACAAAAATGGTTCAGTGCCTGTTGCCCCAAGAGCAAGCATTGATTCCAGTTTATCAGGGACTTTCCCAATTTTAGCAGTGAGTTCCATGTCCCAGGCACTCCTTCAGTCCTGGTTACTCCAAACCTAAGAGAATGAGCAGAGGCCAGGTGTGTTTCGGGAAAATTCCTCTCCGTGGAGACCATGACTAGAAAAGACTATTCTCTTAATAGTGACTTTTGAGCTGGAAGCCAAAGGAGCCAACCAGACAAAAACCCAGAAAAAGGAAATACCAAATACCAAGACTCTGAAGGAAAGGGGTTGATCTCTGCCCAAAAGCACCACCACAAAACCGATGGGATTGGAGTGACTCAGCTGGGGAAGACAGGATGTAATGCTGGTGGAGGAGTAGCCGGGAGCCAAATCAGGAAGGACTTTGTCAACCTAACCATGGGAGAGAGTGTACATTTCCTCTAAAGAAAAATAGGGGCTGGGCATGGTGGCTCATGCTGTAATCCCAGCACTTTGGGAGGCCGAGGTGGGTGGATCACGAGGTCTGGAGATGGAGACCAGCCTGAACAACATGGTGAAACCCAATCTCTACTAAAAATATAAAAATTAGCCAGGTATAGTGGTGGGCATCTGTAATCCCAGCTACTTGGGAGGCTGAGGCAGGAGAATCACTTGAACCCGGGAGGTGGAGGTTACAGTGAGCCGAGACTGCACCATTGCACTCCAGCCTGGGCAACAGAGTGAGTCTCCGTCTCAAAGAAAAAAGAAAAGAAAAGAAAAATAGGACGATACCAAAGGGCTATAAGTAAGGAGTGAGAAGATCTGAATTATATTCCTTAAAAGCTTGCCATGGCTGTGTATGAAGAATGAATTGAGGGGTTCAGAGGAGAAGCAGTGGGTCCAGATAAAAGACTTTTGTAAGTCGTCCTGGCAACAGATGATGGGGACTTGGGTTAAGATGGTAGAACCAGCAGGACTTGCTGAGGGATTGGATTTCAGCCAGCAGAGATGGAAATTCACAAATCTACTGGATTCTTAGCTTGAGCAACCAGTTGCCTATGGTGGAATATATGAAGACAAGGAGAGCTGGAAAAAAATTCATGCTTACGCTTTTTAGCTTAGATGTGTCAAATTTCAGATGCCTTTAAGATAGCCAAGTGGAGACGTCAAGTCGGAGGCGAGCAGTGGCACTGAACATGGAGGCAAATTACCTGGGTGTGAATCCAGGCTCTTCCAACTATATGACCTTGGGCAAGTTAGTTAACCTCTCTATGCCTCAGTTTTTAGCTCTGTCAAAGGGAGATGATAAAAGAACTATTGGAGAGGTAGGATTTGCAACAAACAATACACATAGCATTCAACAAATATTAGGTTTTGTTTTGTTTTTTGAGACAGAGTCTCACTCTGCCACCCGGACTGGAATGCAATGGCATGATCTCTGCTCAATGCAACCTCCACCTCCCAAGTTCAAGGGATTCTCCTGCCGCAGCCTCTCCGGGAGCTGGGACTACAGACAAGCACCACTACACCCGGCTAATTTTTATATTTTTTAAAATTTTGTAATATATATATATATATATATATATATATATATATATATTTTTTTTTTTTTTTTTTTTTTTTTTTTTTAAGATGCGGTCTCACCATGATGGCCAGGCTGGTCTTGAACTCCTGACCTCAGGTGATCCACCCACCTCGGCCTCCCAAAGTGCTAGGATTACAGGCATGAGCCACTGTGCCTGGCCAATTTTTGTATTTTTTGAAGTAGAGATGAGAGTTTCACCATGTTGGCCAGGCCTGTCTCAAACTCTTGACCTCAGGAGATCCATCTGCCTTAGCCTCCCAAAGTGCTGGGATTATAGGTGTGAGCCACTGTGCCCATTGTTACCAAATGTTAGCTTCTGTTTTTGTTTTGTTTTGTTTTGTTTTTTTGAGACAGAATTTTGCTTTTGTTGCCCACGCTGGAGTGGGCACGGTCTTGGCTTACTACAACCTCCACCTCCTGGGTTCAAGCAATTCTCCTGCCTCAGTCTCCGGACTAGTTGGGATTACAGGTGCCCACCACCACAACCAGCTAATTTTTTGTATTTTTAGTAGAGATGGGGTTTCACCATGTTAACCAGGCTGGTCTTGAACTCCTGACCTCAGGTGATCAGATCCATCACCTCGGCCTCCCAAAGTGCTGGGATTACAGGTGTGAGCCACCATGCCTGGCCTGTTAGCTTTCATTATATTTAAATCTGGAACTCATGGGAGAGGTCAGAAATTGACATATGAATCTTGAGCTAAACACAGTGCCTTATACCTGTAATCTCAGCACTTTGGAAGACCAAGGTTGGAGGATCGCTTGAGCCTAGGAATTTGAGACAACCCAGGCAACACAGGGATACCTCATCTCTATAAAAAATTTAAAAAATTAGCCAGGCACGGTGGCACATGCCTGTAATTGTAGCTACTTGGAAGGCTGAGGGAGAAACATCACTTGAGCTCAGGAGGTTGAGGCTGCAGTGAACCATAATCACATCACTACACTCTACCTGGGCAACAGAGCAAGACTTTGTCTCAAAATAAATAATCAGGCTGGGCGTGGTGGCTCACGCCTGTAATTAGAGCACTTTGGGAAGCTTAGGTGGGCAGATCGTTTAAGGTCAGGAGTTCAAGACCAGCCTGGCCAACATGGTGAAACCCCACCTCTATTAAAAAATTACAAAAAATTAGCCAGATGTGGTCGCGGGTGCTTGTAATCCCAGCTACTCAAGAGGCTGAGGCAGGAGAATTGCTTGAACCCAGGAGGTGGAGGTTGCAGTGAGCCAAGTTAGCGTCATTGCACTCCAGCCTGGGTGACAGAGTGAGACTCCGTCTCAAAAAATAAATAAAATAAAATAAGAATAAATAATCAGGGTGGACACAGTGGCTCATGCCTGTAATCCCAGCACTTTGTGAGGCTGAGGTGGGCAGATCACCTGAGGTCAAGGACCAGCTTAGCCAACATGGTGAAACCCCGTCTCTACTAAAAATACGAAACATTAGCTGAATGTGGTGGTGCATGCCTGTAATCCCAGCTACTCAGGAGGCTGAGGCAGGAGAATCGCTTCAACCCAGGAGGCCGAGGGTGCAGTGAGCCAAGATCGCGCCACTACACTCCAGCCTGGCGACAGAGCGAGACTCCCATCTAGAAAGAAAGAGATCTGCTCTTCAGCAATAAGAAGAAAAACATAAATAAATAAAATAAGAAAGAGAGAGAGGAAGGAAGGACAGAAAGAGAAAGGGAGAGAGAGAGGAAGGAAGGAGTTAAGAAAGACTCCTATTGAGACCGTGAGAGTTACGTTGAGGGGAATATTGTTATTTGAAGCTGACAGTATTCAATGCCATGAGTTTGAAGGTCCTCCCTTGGTCATTAACATGTAAGTAGGAAAGAAAGTGTGGCCCGGAACAGTCGGGCGTGCCCATGAGAAAGCAGGAGGAGAGGAAGCCTCAAGGAAAACGGGGTGGGGGCTGCCGCGCACGGTGGGCAGAGCCGGGAGCAAGGGGCGGAGGCGGCCGGGAGCGCGGCGGCTTCCAGCGGCTAGAGGGACCCACGCAGCCTCACCTGCGCCCCGCGCGCGCGACCCCCACCGCGGCCCCGCCCCTTTCCGCCTGGTTTATAGGGTCCGGCCCAAGCCTCCCGCCAGAGTTTGTCCTGCGACCCCCGACCATGCCTGCTGACCTCAGCGGTACCTGGACCCTGCTCAGCAGCGACAACTTCGAGGGCTACATGCTGGCCCTAGGTAGGGCGGAGGGGAGGCGGCGGGGCCGCGGGGCTCGCGGGGGTCTTGAGGTCGGGCCAAAGGCTGCTGGGCTTGTCTGTCCGTCCGCTATCCGTGCGTCCGTCCCGCTGCGCCCACAGCCGCCCAGGCGCCCCCGAGTCCGCAGGTCCTGGGCGCCTCCGTCCATCGACCCCGGACCCCGTCCTTCCGTGTCCCCGTCCGTCCTTCCCCACGTCCACCCGTCCCCCTGTCCTCACGCCCGTCTCTCTGCGCCCCCGGTCTCCCCGGAACCGCCCCCTTGCCCACCGTCCCCGCGTTCCCGCGTCCAACCCCTCGTCGGTGTTTACCCGCCTGCTGCCGCCAAACGGAGACTGTGAACTGGGGGTCCGGCCGGGGAGGAGGCGCCCGAGCCCGAAGCCCCTGCCCGGCGACCCTCCCCGCAGCCGCCGTCCGCGCGGGCCCCGGGATCCCGGAGGCGCCTTGGCTCTGGCGGCGAAGTCCCCGCAGCCTCGGCGCACCCGGAGCGTGTCGGGGACTCAGAATCCCGGCGCCAGCGGGTGACCCTGCAGGTTCCGGCCCCCGCGGGAGCGCAGAGCCTGGTTTGGCCCCGGGTGTGCCCCGACCGCCGCCTCCTGCGAGGCCTGGGGACCCGGGGCATACTTGCTCCCTGGGGCCCGCGTTGCTTCCGGCCCTTACCAGGGTGCCAACAGTGCGCGGATTCTCGGCTCATTGCAACCTCCGCCTTCTCCCCTCTCCCCACTGCTGCTTCCCGGTTCAAGTGATTCTCCTGCCTCAGCCTCCCAAATAGCTGGGATTACAGGCTTGCGCCACCGGGTCCGGCTAATTTTGTACATTGGTCAGGCGGGTCTCAAACTCCTGACCTCAGGTGATCCACCTACCTCGGGCTCCCAAAGTGCTGGGATTACGGCGTGAGCAGGTGTAGTTTTTCTTGTAGCTTTAGGAATCTGGGAAGTTACCATGCCAACTGATCTCTGAACCCTTGACCTGCAGGCAGTTTTTGTTTTCTTAACCTTAGGGTCCATCTTAGTTGATAAAGGGGCATTTATTTTGGTCTTTCATATCCCAGGAGATAAGAAGAGTGTTCCTCTGGGTATGGGAAAGGCAATTCTCACTTGAGAGTCTTATCTTCAGAGGAAGAGCAGAGAATTCTTTCATGGCTTGCTTCAGGTAAGAGAGGCAGAAGAAGGTCTGAGGGTGACCTTCCCGCCTCTGCTATTTCCTCAAATGCCAAGTGATACGTTTTGGTTGTGTCCCCACCCAAATCTCATCTTGAGTTGTAGCTCCCGTAATTCTCATGTGTTGTGGGAGGACCTGGTGGGAGATCACTGAATCATGGAAGCAGCTTTCCCCATTCTGTTGTGGTAGTGAATGTCTCATGAGATCTGATGGTTTTATAAGGGTTTTTCCCTTTCACTTAGCTCTTATTCTCTCTTGCCTGCCATGTAAGACATACCTTTCACCTTCTGCCATGAGTTCGAGGCTTCCCCAGCCACGTGGAACTGTGAGTCCATTAAACCCTGAAGTGCAATGGCACAGTCTTGGCTCACTGCAACCTCCACTTCCCAGGTTCAACTAATCCTCCTGCCTCAGCCTCCTGAGTAGCTGAGATTACGGGCGTGTGCCACCACGTTTAGCTAATTAGCTTAGCTAATTTTTTGTATTTTTAGTAGAGACAGGGTTTCTCCATGTTGGTCAGGCTGGTCTTGAACTCCTGACCTCAGGTCATCCACCGGCCTCAGCCTCCCAAAGTGCTGGGATTACAGGCGTGAGCTACCATGCCCATCAAACCTCTTTTTCTGTATAAATTACCTACTCTCAGGTATGTCTTTATTAGCGATGTGAAAACAGACTAATACATTAAAGTGCCATGTTTTGAGGTAGCCTATCCTGAGCTCCATAAATCCAATGCAGTTTTCTGAAAACCCGCAACTTTGTTTCAACTTTAGATCTAATTTGTTTTTTTTGTTTTTTTGTTTTTTTTTTTGAGACGGAGTTTCGCTCTTGTTACCCAGGCTGGAGTGCAATGGCGCGATCTCGGCTCACCGCAACCTCCGCCTCCTGGGTTCAGGCAATTCTCCTGCCTCAGCCTCCTGAGTAGCTGGGATTACAGGCACGCACCACCATGCCCAGCTAATTTTTTTTTTTTGTATTTTTAGTAGAGACGGGGTTTCACCATGTTGACCAGGATGGTCTCGATCTCTCAACCTCGTGATCCACCCACCTCGGCCTCCCAAAGTGCTGGGATTACAAGCTTGAGCCACCGCGCCCAGCCAGATCTAATTTGTTAAAGTACCCAGTACTTAACATCAATTTGTTAAAGTGCTAAGTACCTAGGTCACACTTAAAGCACTAGAGTGGTTGTTTATATAATAATGTAATACATTTTATCTTAAGAATTAAGTGGGGGGCCGGGCACAGTGGCTCATGCCTATAATCCCAGCACTTTGAGACACCAAGGCAGGTGGATCAACTGAAGTCAGGAGTTCGAGACCAGCCTGGCCAACATGGTGAAACCCTGCCTCTACTAAAAATACAAAAAATTAGCCAGACGTGGTGGCACACACCTGTAATCCCAGCTTGGGAGGCTGAGGCAGGAGAATCGCTTGACCCAGGAGGTGGAGGTTGCAATGAGCCAAGATTGTGCCGTTGCACTCCAGCCTGGGTGATAAAGCAAGACTTCATCTTGGGGGGAAAACAAAGAATTAAGCTAGCAGATTAGGCGCGGTGGCTCACGCCTATAATCCCAGCACTTTGGGAGGCCAAGGTGGTGAATTACCTGAGGTCAGGAGTTCAAGATGAGCATGGCCAACATAGTGAAACATCATCTTACTAAAAATACAAAAATTACCTGGGCATGGTGACTCATGCCTCTAGTCCCAGCTACTGGGGAGGCGAGGCATGAGAATCGCTTGAACCTGGGAGGCAGAGGTTGCAGTGAGCTGAGATCACGCCGCTGCACTCTAGCCTGAGCAACAGAGTGAGACTTGGTCTAAAAAAAAATAAAGAAAAGAGCTAGCAATTCTGAATTTTGCTGATTTACTTGAATATACAATTTATATAATTTTTCTTTTTCTTTTTTTTTTTTGAGACGGAGTTTCGCTCTTGTTACCCAGGCTGGAGTGCAATGGCGCGATCTCGGCTCACCGCAACCTCCTGCCTCCTGGGTTCAGGCAATTCTCCTGCCTCAGCCTCCTGAGTAGCTGGGATTACAGGCACGCGCCACCATGCCCAGCTAATTTTTTGTATTTTTAGTAGAGACAGGGTTTCACCATGTTGACCAGGTTGGTCTCGATCTCTCGACCTCGTGATCCACCCGCCTCGGCCTCCCAAAGTGCTGGGATTACAGGCTTGAGTCACCGCGCCCGGCTATAATTTTTCATGTACATGTAAGGAAAATACATTCTGTAAAAAATCACAAATATAGTACTTAGATCCTTAAATTGTAAGGTCTAGGAAAATAAGAAGTAATCACCTCTTTTTTATAAGTAGAAGTGAGGTGAATACCTGTTGGCAGTGATGCTGAGATTCAAATAAGTCACCAGCAAACACGCGGCACACATCTCATGATGTGCTCCAGTTGGCATCTCATTTGAGAGCCGAAAATCACTCCCTTTGGCCGGGCACGGTGGCTCACGCCTGTAATCCCAGCACTTTGGGAGGCTGAGGCGGGTGGATCACGAGGTCAAGAGATCGAGACCATCTTGGTCAACATGGTGAAACCCCGTCTCTACTAAAAATACAAAAAGTTAGCTGGGCATGGTGGCGCGTGCCTGTAATCCCAGCTACTCAGGAGGCTGAGGCAGGAGAATTGCCTGGACCCAGGAGGCGGAGGTTGCGGTGAGCCGAGATTGCGCCATTGCACTCCAGCCTGGGTAACAAGAGCGAAACTCCGTCTCAAAAAAAAAAAAAAAAAAAATCACTCCCTTTTATCTAAAAACTAGAACTGATCTTGCAGCTCCCACCGGGGCTCTGGTATCCCTCTCTCCCAGCGTCTGCCAAACTGCAGGGAGAAGAAAGGCAACTTGTCCTTGCACAAAGAAGAAAGTTTACTTGGGCTTTTTGGGATTTTTTTTGAGATAGGGTCTTGGTCTGTCACTCAGGCTGGAGTGTAGTGGTGTTGATCATGGCTCACTGCAGCCTTGACTTCCTGGACTCAGATGATCCTCCCACCTCAGCCTTCCAAGTAGCCAGGACGACAGGTGCATACCATCACACTTGGCTGATTTTTAAATTATTTTTGCAGAGACTGTGTCTTGCTATGTTACCCAGGCTGTTCCCAAACTCCTGGCCGCATGCGATCCTCCTGCCTCAGCCTTGCTTGGGTTTTAATAGCTGGAGGAGCTGACCTGGGATTTGGGAGTTCCTGGTGTACCCCCACAGTAGCCAAGGACACCCAGGGTGCAGTGCCTCAGGCATGGAGAAGCCGCATGTTAATGCCCACAGATACTGACCAACTTGTGCAGGTCCTCGCCTTTAGTCCTGTTACGAGCCCAAGAAGGTGGTGGTGTTACCAACTTGCCCCAGGTCACTGTGTAGGCTGGGATCTATTTATTTATTTGATTAATTGAGTGATTTATTTATTTATTTGTTTTTGAGACAGAATCTTGCTTTGTCGCCCAGGCTGGAGTGCAATGGCACAGATCTTGGCTCCCTGCAACTCCATCTCCTGGGTTTGAGCGATTCTCCTGGGTTTGAGCGATTCTCCTGCCTCAGCCACCCAAGTAGCTGGGATTACAGGTGCACACCACCCCACCTGGCTGATTTTGTATTTTCAGTAGAGACAGAGTCTCACTCTGTCGGCCAGGCTGGTCTCGAACTCCTGGGCTTAGGTGACCTGCCTGCCTTGGCCCCCTAAAGTGCTGGTGGATTACCAGCCACCACGCCTGGCTCAACACTGGGATTTAAAGGGATCCCCTCTTGGCTTCAACCCCATGTTGCCTCAAAATTAGAAGTGGCTTTGAGATGAAAGGTTAGTATGAACACCTGAAGCTTAGATAAGTGTACAAATGTACATTTGGTACATTTGTGTGGGCTCCTTTGAGACCCTACCCTCAAGTGTGTATGGGTACACATTTATAGTAGCATGTGCATCAGACTGCTCCCTCTCACTCACCCTACGCTCCTCACAACCTTCCTTAGAGTCCCTGGGCTCCCTGGATTTCTGCATTAAACTGTTTTCCCAGAAATCGGCGTGGCTTGATTCTTCGCTTCTTTCAGCTTCCTGCTGAGACGTCACCTGACCATTATTTAAAATAGTGGTGTTTATTTCTAGCGAAGTAATATGCTTAATATGCTCAAAGGCACTGAGTACAACTGGGAATCCACACCCTGATCTTCATCCTCCTAGAATTCCATGCTTCCCTGTGGAACTCTTTTTTAAAGCTTATTCAAGATTTCTAGCTGAGCAGGGTGGCTCATTCCTGTAATCCCAGCACTTTGAGAGGCTGAGGTAGGGGGATTGCTTGAGCGTAAGAGTTCGAGACCAACCTGGGCAACATATTGAGACCCTATCTCTACAAAAAAATGTTTAAAATGTTTCTAGTTTGGCCAGGCACAGTGGCTCACACCTGTAATCTCAGCTCTTTGGGAGCCAAGGCAGGCGGATCACCTAAAGTCAGGAATTTGAGACCAAACTGGCCAACATGGTGAAACCCCATCTCTACTGAAAATGCAAAAATTAGCTGGGTGTGGTGGCAGGCATCTGTAATTCCAGCTACTCGGGAGGCTGAGGAAGGAGAAGCACTTGAACCTGGGTGGCAGGTTGCGGTGAGCCAAGATGGCGCCATTGCAATCTAGCCTGGAGGACAAGAGCGAGACTTTGTCTCCAAAACAAACAAACAAACAAAAAATTTCCAGGCATGGTGGCATGTGCCTGTCGTCCCAGCTATTCGAGAGGCTGAGATAGGAGAATCACTTGAGCCTGAAAGGTCGAAGCTGCAGTGAGCCATGATTGCACCACTGCACTCCAGTCTGGGTGACAGAATGAGATCCTGTCTCAAAAAAAAAATACATGGTAGTATATAGCTGGCTGTGGTGGTGCAAGCCTGTAATTCCAGTTACTCAGGAGGCTGAGGCAGGGGAATTGCTTAAACCCAGGAGTGGAGGTTGCAATGAGCTGAAATCATGCCACTGCACGCCCCCGCCAAAATATATCTATCTATCTATCTATCTATATCTATCTATCTATAAAATATATCTATCTATCTATAGATAGATAGATAGATAGATAGATGGAGAGAGAGACAGTAGTATATACATGAATTCAGTGGTTTCTGAATTTTGTTTTCATTGTTGTTGAGAAACGGTTCAAATGCTCTCTTAATTCGAAGTGTAAATACATGAGGCAGAAAAAGGCAGTGTTGAGACTGAGGCTGGGTTGAGAGGCTTAAGCCCTGTCCCTTTGGTTTTTTTTCTTTTGGTGGCCTCTGGGGTGATTTTCAGAACTATTTCTGCCATGCCGAGCTAAAAATCCATTACCCAAAGCACAGCTAGACTAATTAGTCTTTCCTGAAAGCTGTGCAAGCTTTTAAAAAATTATTATTTATTTCACCCGCCAGCACCATGACAGTTTATATATTTTTTTATAGAGACAGGGTCTTGCTATGTTGCCCAGGCTGGTCTCAAACTCCAGAGCTCAAACAATCCTCTTGTCTCTGTGTCCCAGAGTCCTGGGATTATGGCACCTAGCGTGTGCAAGCTTTTTCTTTTCTTTTCTTTTTCTTTTTCTTTTTTTTTTGAGACGGAGGTTTGCTCTTGTTACCCAGGCTGGAGTGCAATGGCATGGTCTCGGCTCACCGCAGCCTCCACCTCCTGGGTTCGGGCGATTCTCCTGCCTCAGCCTCCTGAGTAGCTGGGATTACAGGCATGCGCCACCATGCCCAGCTAAAGCTTTTTTTTCCCTAATGAATAGTGACAGTATGGGTCACAGTTTACTGACTGACCCACAGTTAGTGTTCATCATTCTAGGAGCTGCTAGCATTCCCTCCTTTGTCTCTCTCTTTTTTTTAGACAGAGTTGCCCAGGCTGGAGTGCAATGGCACAATCTTGGCTCACTGCAACCTCCGCCTCCCGAGTTCAAGTAATTCTCCTTCCTCAGCCTCCCAAGTAGCTGGGATTACAGGCATGCACCACCACACACAGCTAATTTTGTATTTTTAGTAGAGATGGGGTTTCTCCATGTTGGTCAGGCTGGTCTGGAACTCCTGATCTTGGGTGATCCACCCACCCTGGCCTCCCAAAGTGCTGGGATTACAGTGTGAGCCACCGCACCCAGCTATGTGTGCAACTTTTTAATCAAGCTGTGATTGGATGGTTCCCCCAGATGTGTTTTCAGCAGCAAACAACATTGAAGTCGTACAGGAAACACTATCAATTACCTGCAGTGATTTTGAGAACAGTTGCCAATTTCTTCGCTTTTGCACCTCAAGTGAATGTTGAAGTGTTTTTTAAAATTATTTTTAAGGTATCGACTTTGCCACTCGTAAGATAGCCAAGTTGCTAAAGCCACAGAAAGTGATCGAGCAGAATGGGGATTCTTTTACCATCCACACGAACAGCAGCCTAAGGAACTACTTCGTGAAATTTAAAGTTGGAGAAGAATTTGATGAAGATAACAAAGGCCTGGACAACAGAAAATGCAAGGTAAAATTTATTTATTTATTTTTTATTTTTTTTATTTTTTTTGAGACGGAGTTTCGTTCTTGTTACCCAGGCTGGAGTGCAATGACGTGATCTCGGCTCACCGCAACCTCCGCCTCCTGGGCTCAGGCAATTTTCCTGCCTCAGCCTCCTGAGTAGCTGGGATTACAGGCACGCGCCACCATGCCCAGCTAATTTTTGTATTTTTGGTAGAGACGGGGTTTCACCATGTTGACCAGGATGGTCTCGATCTCTTGACCTCGTGATCTACCCGCCTCGGCCTCCCAAAGTGCTGGGATTACAGGCTTGAGCCACCGCGCCCGGCCGCAAGGTAAAATTTAAAGCAATGTTGGGTGCAGTGGCTTACGCCTGTAATCTCAACAATTTGGGAGGCTAAGGTGGGCGGATCACCTGACGTTGGGAGATCAAGATCAGCCCAGGCAACACGGCAAAACCCTGTCTTCACAAAAAATACAAAAGTTAGGCAGGCATGATGGCAGGGGCCTGTAATCCCAGTTACTTGGGAGGCTGAGGCAGGAGAATCCCTTGAACCCGGGGGGTGGAGGTTGCAGTGAGCCAAGATTGTGCCACTGCACTCCGGCCTGGGTAACAGAGTGGGACTCTGTCAAAAAAATAAATAAATAAAATACAGCAACAAGTAGGCTAACTGGCATTCTCCTTGGTAACAGCTGAGGATTCTGCCAGAGCAGGATAGCCCATATTTTCTCCTCTTCTCATGCAGAGCTTGGTTATCTGGGACAATGACAGACTCACCTGTGTCCAGAAGGGAGAAAAGAAGAACAGAGGCTGGACCCATTGGATCGAAGGCGACAAACTCTACCTGGTATTTGCCACATTTTGTTCTTGTTTTTTGTTCTTTTTTTTTTTTAACCTGTATCACAAACGCTTTATTTAAAGGTCCATCTCAATTTACGTGTGGCAGCACAAAATAAAGGACCAGATAGTGACACACCATTTCCATCTCAAGTAGTCGAATCCAACATCCAAAACCCAGCGAGCAGCCAAACTCAGCGAAACCTCCTGGCCTCTCGCTCGGACTCCAACAGTCAGCACGTCACCCTTGCGCACGGGGCCTTTTACATTGCGGATGATGGAGCGGCTCATGTCGTCCATAAATTCCACGTGCACCTGCGTACACTGTCCCTGAGAACCGGTCCTGCCTAGGACCTTGGTGACCCTGGCCAACTTGATAGGCTGCACACAGCTGGTATCCATGATGGTGGCTCGGCAACGGTCTAACAGAGAGGCTTGTTCTTATTTTTAATGAGATGATACGGTATTAGAGGAAATATCAGGCCAAGCATGGTGGCTCATGCTGTAATCCCAAAACTTTAGGATGCCAAGGTGGGTGGCTTGCTTGAGGTCAGGAATTTGAGACTAGCCTGGCCCCATCTCTGCTAAAAATACAAAAATTAGCCCGGTGAAACAGCCGAATATTCTGACAGAGGCAAGAAGATAGCATGCAAATAGTCATGGAACAGTTTTTACCTATTATATATAATAGCTACTTTAGATAGATGATAGATAGATGATAGATAGATAGATAGATAGATAGATAGATAGATAGGCATAGACAGACATAGTAGCTGACATCTTTAGAGTGATGACTTTGGGCCCAATTACTGTGCTCAGTCCTTTACGTGCATTATCTCATTTAATCTTCATCACAAGCCTGTGAAAAGGACACTATTTTTCCTACTCACAAATAAAGAAATTGTAATTTTGAAATTCCCCAAGGCTGCTGTCAAAAGGATCAGAATCCAGTTTAAAAGGGTTTATTCAGACTGGGCACAGTGGCTCATGCCTGTAATCCCAGCACTTTGGGAGGCCGAGGCAGGTAGATTACTTGAGGTCATGAGTTCAAGACCAGCCTGACCAACATGATGAAACCCCATCTCTACTGTTAATAAAAATACAAAACTAGCTGGGCGTGGTGGTGCATGCCTATAATTCCAACTACTCAGGAGGCTGAGGCAGAATTGCTTGAACCAGGGAGTAGGAAGTTACAGTGAGCTGAAATCACGATACTGCACTCCAATCACTCTACTGGCAATAAAGCGAGACTGTCTCAAAAAAAAAAAAAAAAAAAAAAAAAAGGCGGGCAGGAGTTTATTCAAGCACGAAGCTGAGGACAGTCATCCAGGAAATACAGACTCCAAAGGAATGGGGTCAGTACACCCAAGCTGAAAAGTTAATGTGTTAATGTCTTGCTTTTTTTCTTTTGAGACAGAATCTCTCCGTCACCCAGTGTCACCTGGGCTAGAGTGCAGTGGCGCGATCTCCGCTCACTGCAACTTCTGCCTCCCTGGTTCAAGCGATTCTCCCACCTCAGCCTCCTGAGTAACTGGGGTTATAGGTACCTGCCACCACACCCAGCTAATTTTTGTATTTTTAGAAGAGACAGGGTTTCACCTTCTTGGCCAGGCTGGTCTTGAACTCTAGGCCTCCCTAAGTGCTGGGATTACAGGCTTGGCCATTTGTAATAAAAATTAAATTTCTTGGAATATGACTCTCGGAGTTTTTCTTTCTTTTTCATTTTCTTCTTTTACTTTTAAGCTGTTGGACTTGAGGTGATCCACCCACCTTGGCCTCCCAAAGTGCTGGGATTTTTTTTTTTTTTTTCTTTTTTTTAAACACTTGGCCTGCTTTTGTTTTTGTTTTTGAGACAGAGTCTCTCTGTCACCCAGGCTGGAGTGCAGTGGTGCAATCCCAGCTCACTGCAACCTCCACTTCCTGGTTTCAAGGGATTCTCCTGCCTCAGCCTCTCAAGTAGCTGGGATTAGAGGTGCCTGCCACCAAACCCAGCTAATTTTTGGATTTTTAGTAGAGACAGGGTTTTGCCATGTTGGTAGGCTGGTCTCGAATTCCTGACCTCAGGTGATCCACCCGCCTGAGCCTCCTAAAGTGCTGGGATTGCAGGCGAGAGCCACCATGCCCCACCCAGGTCTTACTTATATCAACAAAAAACAAAGAAATTTTGCAGGATTACAACATTTTCTCTACGAAGCTGTTTTATGAGTTACAGCAATTTCATTAGTTACAACTTAGTTTTTTCCTTTTTCTTTCCAGTTTAAAGAGCATATTTAACATTCTTTATTTTCTTTTTCTCTTTTTAAAAAATTTTTTTTTTTTTTTTTTTTTTTTTTTTTTTTTTTTGAGACGGAGTTTCGCTCTTGTTACCCAGGCTGGAGTGCAATGGCACGATCTCGGCTCACCGCAACCTCCGCCTCCTGGGTTCAGGCAATTCTCCTGCCTCAGCCTCCTGAGTAGCTGGGATTACAGGCACGCGCCACCATGCCCAGCTGATTTTTTGTATTTTTAGTAGAGACAGGGTTTCACCATGTTGACCAGGATGGTCTCGATCTCTTGACCTTGTGATCCACCCGCCTCGGCCTCCCAAAGTGCTGGGATTACAGGCTTGAGCCACCGCGCCCGGCTTTTTAAAATATTTTTAAAAATAAAGACGGGGTTTCACCATGTTGGTCAGGCTGGTCTTGAACTCCCGACCTCAGGTGATCTGCCCGCCTTGTCCTCCAAAGTGCTTGGATTACAGGCATGAGCCACCACACCGGGCCTTTATTTTCTTTTTCTTCCCCCTCATTCTTGCTGTCATCTCAAGAGTATATTTAACATTCCATCTTAGACAATGTGATGGCCATAGGATTTCGTATAAGAGAAGGAAGAGGCTCACTTGCTTTGGGAAAAAAAAAAAAAGAAGAAACAGGGAAGTGAATCTATGATTAAGATCAACAATGGAGGGGAGTCTTCTCTGGTACTCTTTAGTCTTTTACAAAACAGTGTAGATAAAGAAAAAGGCTAGTCTATAATCAGAGAAATTAAGGGTATAGCTGTCTAGGTTATAGCTGCCTTTACCATGACTCAGGTCCCATAATCACATTCCTGTAAGACTCAAAATAATTTAAAATTTCAACAGCTTTGATTGTGAATTACGTATTTTCACACTGTAGAATGAAGATTCAGATATGGGTTGACAAGAATGTGTGCTCTCAGCTCTGGGCTTTTTGTCTCACTGTATGTGTGAAATTTAGGTGAGACCCATGACAACAAAATTAGAGCAGTTTCCTTAAAGTTGGGCCTGGGTAGTCTTTGATTACAAAGGCCTTGAAGATATTTTTATTCTAGATGGACAAATCTCACACTCTTCTGACAATAAATACAAAGTCAGAGGCCGGGAGTGGGATTATGGGCTCACATCTGTAATCCCAAGGCTTTGGGAGGCTGAGACAGATCACCTGAGGTCAGGAGTTTGAGACCTGTGGTGAAACCCCGTCTCTACTAAAAATAGAATAATTAGCCAGGCATGGTGGCAGGTGCCTGTATCCCAGCTACTCAGGAGGCTGAGGCAGGAGAATCGTTTGAACCTGGGAGGTGGAGGTTGCAGTGAGCCAAGATCTTGCCACTGCACTCCAGCTTGGGGAATAGACTAAGACTCTGTCTCCATAAAAAAAACAAAGTAAGAAACTTGCCCTCACAAACATGTAATACGGAATTGCAAAGAAAAAATATGTATGTTTGAGGCTTTAGATTAGTTGGTTATAAGAAGTAACGTTCAAATTATGTACAACAGCTGGGTGGGGTAGCGCTCACCTGTAGTCTCAGTTATTGGGGAGGCTGAAGCAGGAAAGAGCCTGTGTCTCTTAAAAAAAAAAGGCCGGGCGCGGTGACTCAAGCCTGTAATCCCAGCACTTTGGGAGGCCGAGGCGAGTGGATCATGAGGTCAAGAGATCAAGACCATCCTGGTCAACACGGTGAAACCCCGTCTCTACTAAAAATACAAAAAAATATTAGCTGGACATGGTGGCACGTGCCTGTAATTCCAGCTACTCAGGAGGCTGAGGCAGGAGAATTGCCTGAACCCAGGAGGCGGAGGCTGCAGTGAGCCGAGATCGCACCATTGCACTCCAGCCTGGGTAACAAGAGCGGAGCAAAACTCCGTCTCAAAAAAAAAAAAAAAAAAAAAAAAAAAGTCTGGGCGTGGTGGCTCACACCTGTAATCTAAGCACTTTAGAGGCCAAGGTGGGCGGATCACCTGAGGGAGGGAGTTCAAGACCAGCCTGACCAACATGGTGAAACCTTGTCTTAAAAAAATAAAAGAAAATAAAAAATAAAAAGGCCAGGCACAGTGGCTCACGCCTGTAATCCCAGCACTTTGGGAGGCTGAGGCAGGTGGATCACCTGAGGTCAGGAGTTTGAGACAAGCCTGGCCAACATGGCAAAACCGTGGCAGGTGCTTGTAATCCCAGCTACTTGGGAGGCTGAGGCTCAAGAATCGCTTGAACCTGGGAGACGGAGGTTGCAGTGAACGAAGATCAAGCCACTGCACTCCAGCCTGGGCAACAGACTGTGATTCTGTCTTAAAAAGAAAAAAAAAAAAAAAGAAAAAAAATCACAGTAAGTAAGAATCATTCCATGAGTATCTTTAGAACAACGGTGCTTCTATGCCCTGCTTTGGCAGATTTCCTTGATATGCTAGAGAAGGATGTACATAATTTGGCATCTCTCCTTCTTTTACTTTTTCTTTTTTGTTTTTTTTTTTGAGACAGAGTCTCACTCTTTCACCAGGCTGGAGTGCAGTGGCATGATCTTGGCTCGCTGCAATCTCCACCTCCTGGGTTCAAGTTATTCCCCTGCCTCAGCCTCCAGAGTAGCTGGGACTACAGGCGTGTGTCACCATGCCCAGCTAACTTTTTGTTTTAGTAGAGATGGGGTTTCACCCTCTTGTCCAGGATGATCTCCATCTCCTGATCTTGTGATCTGCCTGCCTCGTCTCCCAAAGTGCTGGGATTACAGGCACAAGCCACCGTACCTGACTTTTTTTTTTGTTCGTTTTTTTTAAACAAAGCCTCATGAGCCACCATGACTAGCCAATATTTTTAAATTTATCATGATGGCTGGGCGCAGTGGCTCATGTCTGTAACCCCAGCACTTTGGAAAGCCGAGGTGGGCAGATCACCTGAGGTTAGGAGTTTGAGACCAGCCTGGCCAACATCTCTACAAAAATACAAAAATTAGCTGGGCATGGTGGCAGGCACCTGTAATGCCAGCTACTTGGGAGTCTGAGGCAGGAGAATCGCTTGACCCGGGAGGCAGAGGTTGCAGTGAGCCGAGATTGAGCCACTGAACTCCAGCCTGGGTGACAGAGGAGATCCCATCTCAAAAAAAAAAAAAAAAATTGGTTGCTGGGTATGGTGGTTCACTCCCATAATCCCAGCACTTTGGGAGGACAAGGCAAGAGGATCACTGGAGTTTAATACCAGCCTGGGCAATATAGTGTGACTCTGTCTCTACAAAAAATTGGCCGGGGGCAGTGGCTCATGCCTGTAATCCCAGCATTTTGGGAGGCTGAGGCAGGTGGATCATCTGAGGTCTGGAGTTAGAAACCAGCCTGGCTAACATGGTAAGACCCTGTCTCTACTAAAAATACAAAAATTAGTCAGTGTGGTGGTGGGTACCTGTAGTCCTAGCTACTGGGGAGGCTGAGGTAGGATAACTGCTTGAAACCAGGAGGCGGAGGTTGCAGCGAGCTGAGATTGAACCATTGCACTCCACCCTGTGTGACAAGAACGAGACTCCATCACAAAAAATAAAAGAAATAGTAGCTGGGCATGGTGGTTTGTGCCTGTAGTCCCAGCAACTTGGGAGGCTGAGGAGGGAGGATCACTTAAGCCCAGGAAGTTGAGGCTAAGGGGAGCCATGACTGCACCACTGCACTCCAGCCTGGGCGACAGAGTAAGACCCCTGTCTCCAAATTTTAAAAAGGATTTTTTTTTTTGAGACGGAGTTTCGCTCTTGTTACCCAGGCTGCAGTGCAATGGTGCGATCTCGGCTCACCGCAACCTCCGCCTCCTGGGTTCAAGCAATTTTCCTGCCTCAGCCTCCTGAGTAGCTGGGATTACAGGCAAGCGCCACCATGCCCAGCTAATTTTTTGTATTTTTAGTAGAGACGGGGTTTCACCATGTTGACCAGGTTGGTCTCGATCTCTCGACCTCGTGATCCACCCACCTCAGCCTCCCAAAGTGCTGGGATTACAGGCTTGAGCCACCCGCGCCCGGCTTAAAAAGGATCTTTTGTGAGCTAATGACATGGCTGGCTACTGAGGGTCCTTAGATAGCTTCAGGATGGGGGCTGGTCACCAGAAAACCCAAGGCAAGATCAGAGGGTTGGAACTTTCAGCCTCATTCCTGAGGGAAGAAGGGCCTGGAGATTGAACTAATCACCAATAGCCAATGACTTAATCAATCATTCATATGTACCTAAATGTCAACTAAAAACTAAACAATGGGGTTTGGAGAGCTTCCACGTTGGTCAACATTCATGTGTGTGGTGAAAACATTGAGGTGCTGGGAGGGTGGCATGCTCCGCATTTGCTCTTTGCCCTATGCATCTCTTCCATTAGGCTGTTTCTTTTCTTTTTTTTTTTTTTTTGAGATGGAGTCTTGCTTTGTCGTCAGGCTGGAGCACAATGGCGCAATCTTGGTTCACCGCAACCTCCGCCTCCCAGGTTCAAGCGATTCTTCCGACTCAGCCTCCTGAGTAGCTGGGACTACAGGCACACGCCACCACACACAGCTAGTTTTTGTATTTTTAGTAGAGACGGGATTTCACCATGTTGGCCAGGATGGTCTTGATCTCTTGACCTTGTGATCCGTCTGCCTCAGCCTCCCAAAGTGCTGGGATTACAAGTGTGAGCCACCACGTCCAGCCAGACTGTTTCTTTTTTTTTTTTGGAGATGGAGTCTTGCTCTGTTGCCCAGGCTGGAGTGCAGGGCATGATCTTGGCTCACTGCAACCTCTGCCTCCTGGGTTCAAGTGATTCTCCCGCCTCAAGTCTCCTGAGTAGGTGGGATTACAGGCGCCCACCACCATGCCTAGCTAATTTTGGTACTTTTAGTAGATATGGGGTTTCACCATGTTGGTCAAGCTGGTCTCGAATTCCTGACTTCAGGTGATCTGCCCACCTTGCTCCAAAAGTGCTGGGATTACAGGCGTGAGCCAGCATGCCCAGCCACATCAGGCTGTTTCTGAGTTATTTATTTTATAATAAACTGGTAATACTAAGGAAAGGGACTTTCTGAGTTCTCTGAGCCCTTCTAGAGAAATACCAAGCCCAAGAAGGGGTTGTGGGAAAGTCGGATTTGTAGCTGGTCAGTGAGAAATATAGGAGGTCCAGAACTTGCAACAGGTGTCTGAAGTTGGGGGCAGTCTTCTTAACCTATGCGGTCTGTGCTAACTCTAGGTAGTTAGTGCCAGAATTAAACTGGATTACTGGACACTCAGTTGGTACCAGAGAGTTGGAGAAATGGGGTTGGAAAAGACACCACACAATTGGTGTCAGGAGTTTAAGAACTCACACATTTGGTGTCAGAAGTGTTGAGAGTAGGCCAGGGGCCGTGGCTTATACCTGTAACCCTAGCACTTTAGGAGGGGGGCAGGAAAATCATTTGAGGCTAGGAGTTCAAGAGCAGCCTAGGCAGCAGCGAAACCCTCTTTCTACAATAAATACAGAAATTAGCCAGGCACGGTGTCACGTGTCTGTAGTGTCCTGGCTACTTGGGAGACTGAGGTGGGAGGATTGCTTGAGCCTGGGAGGCAGAGGTTACAGTGAGCTGAGATCTCACCACCATACTCCAACCAGGACAACAGAGTGAGACCCCATCTCAAAAAAAAAAAAAAAAAAAAGAATAAAAGGGTGTTCCAGAAAAAGGGTTAGGGGTTAAAATAAAATAAAAAATGTGTTGAGAGTGAAAACAGACCACATGCAAACTCATCTTCTTCCCTTTCTCCTGATACCCTAGGAAATGTTCTGTGAAGGCCAAGTGTGCAAACAGACATTCCAGAGAGCCTGATCCATACCCAGCAGCAGAACCCACTTGTGGCTGCAACTTTATGCCAAATTATATTGCAGACCGAACAGACGTTCATCTATCCCATTTGGTGATGAGGACTCATGGCTGGAGAGAGTCACACAGCCTGTAACCTGAAGTCACCTAGATTACGGGGAAACTGCTTAGCTTCAATAAACCCGTACAAATGACTCTGAAATTTTTCCTTTTAAATTTAGCAAATTCCAGCATTTAAACAAATATTTGAGGCCAGGCGCAGTGGCTCATGCCTGTAATCCCAGCACTTTGGGAGGCCATGGTGGGCAGATCACAAGGTCAAGAGATCGAGACCATCCTGGCCAAAATGGCGAAACCCGTAATTTTTTGTAAAAATACAAAAATTAGCTGGATATGGTGGCATGTGCCTGTAGTCCCAGCTACCTGGGAGGCTGAGGCAAGAAAATAGCTTGAAGCTGGCAGGCAGAGGTTGCTGTGAGCCAAGATTGCACCACTACACTCCAGCCTGGTGATAGAGTGAGACTCTGTCTCAAAAAAAAAAAAAAAAAAAAATGTAAAAGCCTTCTAGGTGACAAGAGACACACCGGTAACATGTACACCAATCTGGAAGTTCACTTAACTTCATCGTTCAGGAGTTCTTGGAGCTCCATCTCCAGCCCCCTTCCCTCCCACGAGGTTGGAGTGGGGCTAATGGTTCCCACCCTCCTCTAATTTGGTCTTTCTGGTGGGCAGCCCCCACGCTGAGTCACATCATTAGCATAGACTCCGGTGTGGTCTAAAGGGGATCCTTACAAATAGCAAAAGACACTCCTGGGCCGGGCGCGGTGGCTCACGCCTGTAATCCCAGCACTTTGGGAGGCCAAGGCGGGTGGATCACGAGGTCAAGAGATCGAGACCATTCTGGTCAACATGGTGAAACCCTGTCTCTACTAAAAATACAAAAATAAGCTGGGCATGGTGGCGCACGCCTGTAGTCCCAGCTACTCGGAAGGCTGAGGCAGGAGAATTGCTTGAACCCAGGAGACGGAGGTTGCAGTGAGCCGAGATCGCACCATTGCACTCCAGCCTGGGTAACAAGAGCGAAACTCCGTCTCAAAAAAAAAAAAAAAAAAAAAAAAGACACTCCTATCACTCAGGAAATTCCAGGGATTTTAGGAGCCCTGTGCCAGAAACCAGGGACAAAGACCAAACATAATTTTATTAAACTTTACTACATGATGCAAAGTGCAGTTTGGAAAGACAGGAATGATTGGGCAAAACAAGTGAGAAAATACGTAAAAGGTCTTTTTGTCATTTCAAAATACAAGAGGTAGCTGGGCGTGGTGGCTCACACCTGTAACCCTAGCATTTTGGGAGGCTGACCCAGGAGGATTCCTTGAGCCCAGGAGTTGGAGACCAGCCTGAACAACATAAGGAGACCTTGTCTCTATAAAAAACAGAAAAGGCTGGGTGTGGTGATGCCTGTAATCCCAGCACTTTGGGAGGCCAAGGCGGGTGGATCACGAGGTCAGGAGATCAAGACCATCCTGGCCAACACGGTGAAACCCCATTTCTACTACAAAAAAAAAAAAAAAAAAAAAAAAGGCCGGGCGCGGTGGCTCAAGCCTGTAATCCCAGCACTTTGGGAGGCCGAGGCAGGTGGATCACGAGGTCAAGAGATCGAGACCATCCTGGTCAACATGGTGAAACCCCGTCTCTACTAAAAATACAAAAAAAAAAAAAAAAAAAGCCGGGCTCGGTGGCTCAAGCCTGTAATCCCAGCACTTTGGGAGGCCGAGGCGGGTGGATCACGAGGTCGAGAGATCGAGACCATCCTGGTCAAACGTCTCTACTAAAAGTGCAAAAAATTAGCTGGGCATGGTGGCACTTGCCTGTAATCCCACCTACTCAGGAGGCTGAGGCAGGAGAATTGCCTGAGCCCAGGAGGCGGAGGTTGCGGTGAGCCGAGATCGCGCCATTGCACTCCAGCCTGGGTAACAAGGGTGAAACTCAGTCTCAAAAAAAAAAAAAAATTAGCTGGGCACAGTGGTGGACACCTGTAATACCAGCTATTCAGGAGGCTGAAGCAGGAGAATTGCTTGAACCCAGGAGGTAGAGGTTGCAGTGAGCCAAGATTGCTCCACTGCACTCCAGCCTGGGTGACAGAGCGAGATGCCATCTAAAAACAACAACAACAACATAAAATTAGCTGGGTGTGGTGGTGCGTGCCTGTAGTCCCAGCTACTCTGGAGGCTGAGGTGAGAGGATAGCTTGAGCCAGGAAGTTGAGGCTGCAGTGAGCCAAGATCGTGCCACTGTACTTCAGCCTGGATGACAGAGTAAGACCCTGTCTCAGAGGGCTAGCCAGGCATGGTAACATGCCTGTAGTCTGAGGAGCTCAAGGCTGCAACAGTGAGCCCTGATCATACCACTCTACTTCATCCTGGGCAACAGAGCAAAAATCTTTCTCTATGGGGAAAAAAAAGGCAAGAGGCTATCTTCTTTGAAGTTTATTACAGTTAACTTACAAATATTTAATCACAATTGCTTAGATTGAATTCAATTCAGCATATATTCCCAGAGGTTCACTATTATTATTACTAGGTTCCAAGAATATGAAACAGCCATAAAAAATGAATGATGGGCTGGGTGTGGTGGCTCACACCTGTTATCTCAGCACTTTGGTAGGCTGAGGCGGGCAGGCAGATTACGAGGTCAGGAGTTTGAGACCAGCCTGGCCAACATGGCAAAACCCCATCTCTACTAAAAATACAAAAATTAGCTGGGCATGGTGGCAGGCCTCTGTAATTCCAGCTGCTCAGGAGGCTGAGGCAGGAGAATTGCTTGAACTCGGAGGCAGAGGTTGCAGTGAGCCGAGATTGTGCCATTGCACTCCAGCCTGGATGACAGAGCAAGTCTCCTTCCCCTCACCAGAAAAAATAGAATGATGAATTCAGTATGTATTATTCTGACTCTGAGAAGTAAATCATAACAACAAAAAAAAAAAACAAACAAGTTTCTAGGTCATACCAAAAGTAATAATTCATTATGAGTATACATTTTTTTTTTTTTTTTTTTGAGACAGAGTTTCGCTCTTGTTACCCAGGCTGGAGTGCAATGGCGCGATCTCGGCTCACCACAAACTCCGCCTCCTGGGTTCAGGCAATTCTCCTGCCTCAGCCTCCTGAGTAGCTGGGATTACAGGCACGTGCCACCATGCCCAGCTTATTTTTGTATTTTTAGTAGAGACAGGGTTTCACCATGTTGACCAGCATGGTCTCGATCTATTGACCTCGTGATCCACCCGCCTTGGCCTCCCAAAGTGCTGGGATTACAGGCTTGAGCCACCGCGCCTGGCTAAAACTGGATTTTACAAGGCAGTGCACAGGTGAGCCTTGGAGAAGTTTCATTGGCCAAGCAAAGACTCTTTGTCATTACCAAAAGGAAATTTCCTCAACTATGAATAATAAAAAGTAATTTTTTTTTTTTTTTTTGAGATAGTCTCCTGTCTCCAGGCTAGAGTGCAATGGTGAGATCACGGCTCATGGCAACATCTGTCTCCTGGGCTCAAGCAATTCTCTTGCCTCAGCCTCCCGGGTAGTTAGGATTACAGGTACGAACCACAACACATTTTTAGTAGAGACAGGGTTTCACCATGTTAGCCAGGCCAATCTCCAACTCCAGTGATCCACCTGCCCCAGCCTCCCAAAGTGTTGGGATTACAGATGGGAGCCACCACACCTGCCCAGGATTTCTTTTATGTTGAGGGGACTGAGAAGCCATCAGAATATTTGGGGTCACAGAAGAGACATAATCTTTGTGTGTGTACAGGCACGTGTGTGGTGGCGCATGCCTATAATCCCAGCTACTGGGGGGCACTGAGGCAGGAGGATCACTTGAACCCGGGAGGTGGAGGTTGCAGTGAACCAAGACAGTGCCACTGCACTCCAGGCTGGGCAACAGAGCAAGACTCTGTCTCAAAAAAAAAAAAAAAAAAAAAAAATTCCCATGGGCCAGGCACGGTGGCTCATGCCTATAATCTCAGCACTTTGGGAGGCTAAAGTGGGTGGATCACCTGAGGTCAGGAGTCCGAGACCAGCCTGGCCAACATGGTGAAACTCCGTCTCTAGTAAAAATGCAAAAAAATTAGCCGGGTGAAGTGGCACATGCCTGTAATCCCAGCTACTTGGGAGGCTGAGGCAGGAGAATCGCTTGAACCCGGAAGGCAGAGACTGCAGTGAGCCAAGAGTGCGCCATTATACTCTAGCCTGGGCAACAACAGCAAAACTCCATCTCATAAAAAAAACCTTTTCATGAAATTACTACCAGATGTTGGCCCTTGAGCACCACCAGCTGGAAAGCTTCATTCTTGGCAAAGAAATAGCTTCAAAGCAGGCACTTCCATAATCCACATACACTGGATGCTCTTAAAGAAAAAAAAAGAGGGGCGACGAGAGGAAGACAGGAGAGGAAGAGGAGGAGAAACAGCATTTCAATTCTGCTTGTAATAATTTTGTTTTTTCCAAACAGTCTCACTCTGTCATCCAGGCTGGAGTGCAATGGTGTGATCTCCGCTCACCGCAACCTCCACCTCCCGGGTTTAAGCTATTCTCCTGCTTTAGCCTCCAAGTAGCTGGGATTACAGGGGAGCACCACCGTAGCCAGCTAATTTTTGTATTTTTAGTAGAGATGGGTTTTCACCATGTTGGCCAGGCTGGTCTTGAACTCCTGACCTCAGGTGATCCACCTGCTTTGGCCTCCCAAACTACTAGAAGTACAGGCGTGAGCTACCACATCGGGCTGTTTGATAATTTCTAGTAAATGTATACAGGTGTACAGCCATTCCCACAACCCAGTGTCAGAAGAAGCCAATTACTCCAAAACATTCCCCAGAGGCTACGTGCTGACAACTATTATTTTATAGCCTTTTCTTTCTTTTTTCTTTTTTTTTTTTTGTTTCTTTTTGAGACAGTGGCACAATCTCAGCTCACTGCAACCTCCACTTTGTGGGTTTAAGTGATTCTCCTGCCTCAGCCTCCCAGGTAGCTGGGATTACAGACACATGCTATCATATCCAGCTAATTTTTGCATTTTTAGTAGATGGAGGTTTTGTGTTGTTGGCCAGGCAGATCTTGAACTCCTGACCTCAAGTGATTTGCCTGCCACAGCCTCACAAACTGCTGGGATTACAGGCATGTGCTGCTGTGCCTGGCCTAG